CCGGCAGGGATTGTAGGTGGGGGGAGTGAATGTACAGTGCTCTCTCCCACCTTCAATACCACGACTGAGGTGCCCTTGAGCAAGGCACCGAACTCCAACTGCTCCCCGGGCGCCACAGCATAAATGGCTGCCCACTGCTCCGGGTGTGTGTTCACGGTGTGTGTGTGTTCACTGCTGTGTGTGTGCACTTTGGATGGGTAAATGCAGAGCACTAATTCCGAGTATGGGTCACCATACTTGGCCACATGTCATGTCACTCACTTTTTTTTTTTAATTTCGGAGCTCCATTGATCATGGCTTTTCATAGTCATGGTGCACGCGCTAAACTCAGAGTCAACATACTCAGAGTGAATTGAACTAACTCAATTCAGCTGTTCTGAAACCGAAAACTCAGAGTTTCCCATCTCAGGGTAAGTCAACTCAGAGTTCAAGTTTTAACTTGGAGTTTGTTGAACCTACTTTCTGGAATACACCCCTGGTTTCACAGACAGGGCTAAGACTAAACCAGTATTCGGCCATAGTTCAATTAGGACATTTAAGTCATTTTTATAAACATGATTTAGAAAAAACATTACTGGTGTGCATCTTGAGACTTACAAGGGCACTGACATATTTTAAGATCAATCAGTGCAAGTTTCTTTCAGTTGAAACAGTCAGACTTATATTTTAGTCTGGGACTAGGCCTAAAGGGATAGTTCACCCAAAAATGGAAATGTTGTCATTAATTACTCACCCTCATGTCGTTCCAAACCTGTAAGACCTCCGTTCGCAAATTAAGATATTTTTGATGGGATCTGAGAGCTCTCTGACCCTCCCATAGACAGCAAGGGTCCTTACACGATCAAGGTGCAGAAACATAGCAAGGACATCGGTAAAATAATCTGTGACATCAGGGGTTCAACCGTAATTTTACAAAGCTACGAGAATACTGTTTGTGCACAAAATTAAAAAAAAAACGACTTTATTCAACAATTCGTTTCCTCCGCATCACCCTAGCGCTATTTTGGAGAGTATCCACGTGGTGCTAGGGTGATGCGGAGGAGACGAATTGTTGAATAAAGTCGTTATTTTTTTTTCTTTTGCACTCAAAATGTATTCTCGTAGCTTTATAAAATTACGGTTGAACCCCTGATGTCACATGGATTATTTTTCCAATGTCCTTGCTACATTTCTGGACCTTGATCGTGTAAGGACCCTTGCTGTCTATGGGAGGGTCAGAAAGCTCTCAGATTCCTTCACAAATATCTTAATTTGTGTTACGAAGATGAACGAGGTCTTACGGGTTTAGAACGACATGAGGGTAAGTAAATAATGACAGAATTTTCTTTTTTGGGTGAACTACACCTTTAAGCCTTGTCTATGAAACCGGGGAATAGACAGCAGCAGGTATTTATAGGCTGCTGACCCTTTAAGACTGACTGCACGGATCCAACACACTGATACACGTCCGATTTCTTTGCTTTGCGTGTCTGCGGCGGCTGTGCGCACAGAAAACAGCGCACAACGAATCAAATTCTCTTTCGCCTCTTCTAGAGCTGGAATGGTTTCAAATCGCTTGTATGTGTAAATTGGCAATACAAAACACGTACGAATGATAAACTTTCACTCTATGATGGTTAAATTTTGCAATTAATCAGCGAAACACATGCGTGCCGAACCATCGGGCCTGGTCCGTATTGATCACGGATCAACTATGATCCATTAAACCACTAACAAGATAAATAGAACATGTATCAACACCAGGTGTTCTCAAACTTTTTGGGGCCAGGGAACCCATACAGTGGAGAACATTTTCCAAGGATCCCCTCATAATTATAACATTTATTAAGCATATGCTTACAACAATTTGTACTCTTAGATGCCATTGGAACCTCCCTTTTAAATTTTCTTGATTCCTTTTTTTCTTCTTCTTCTTCTGGACTCTGTTTTAATGGTTAAATTAAGTTGTAGTAATCAAAAAGCACATCTAATTAACTGAAATCATTAAACTTATCAAATGTAACTATTTATTATCATTTTTGTAGTAATAGGGCCCTATTAAATGCTTTTTCTTTCCTTCCTTCCTCTTTCTTTTATTTTTAGAAATTCTGTGTTGCCCGTTTTAATTTTTATTTTTTTGGGATGTATGATTTAATACATATGTATAATCAACAGTGTTAATAAGATGAAGGCATAAAATATTTACTTTTAAAATATAATCAAACAAAAAAAATTAACAATTATTTATTATTATTAACAATTTCTATATGTGTGAATGTTTGTTTCACATCAAATAAAATAGTTGGTCGATGCTAGGTCGGTCTTATTAATTTGTATAGCATTTCCACAATATTCATTGTACCGGAGCAGCTTTACAGGAAGTTACATTGTAACAGAAAGTCATACAATGTATTTATAGTCCATATTTAAGAGTTTTATGAAAATCCTTTTTGAAAGTCATGCTGCAATAGATTTGTCCACCTAAATACAGTGTCTTTCATTTCATTTGAATTGTACAAATGCTGTTTGTCAGTAATAGTTTATTCTCTGTGCAGTACATAAATTGAGATCTAGCAGCTTAAGTTTAGAGGTTTTTGATTTAATAATTAATGTTTCTGTTTGGCAGAATTTATTAGAAAGAAATTACTATTCATACCATATTTTACATTAATAATACACTCTGTTAACTTGGAGACGTGAAGTTTTGTCAGGGTGCAAGAAAATGTGTCATTATCATAACAGTAAAAACTAATAATGATAATGTCCCTTAGGGGAAGTGTATACAAGGAGAAAAGCAGAGGACCTAATACTGAGTCCTGTGGCACTCCATACTTGTGTTTGATATGATGTCTTTTCAGACGTCTCTTAAATCAGGGGTGTCCAATCTGCTCTTGGAAGGCCACTGTCCTGCAGAGTTAAGCTCCAACCCTAATTAAACACACCTGCTAGTCAAGTTCTTAAGACTGACTAGAAACATCCAGGCAAATGTTTCAGAGCTGGGTGGAGTTAACCTGTGCTGGACATCCAGGAGCAGGACTGGACACCCTTGTCCTAAACCATGCTAGTACTTGTTCACAAATGCCAACATAATCCGCATGCTATCAAAGAGAATGTTGTTGTCAGGTGATTTAATAGAAATGTAACTTTAATAAGCATAGTTTCTGTGCTATGATGGGCTTAAATCCTGATTGAAATAATGTTTATCAGCAAAATACATAGTTGAGAGGACACAATTTTTCTAATATTTTAGAAATAAATGGAAACTTTGAGATTGGTCTAGCTGTCCTGGACCACCCCCAGCACTGCACATTTTGTATGTCTCCCTCATTTAACACACCTGATTCAACTCATTATTAGATATTGCAAGACCTGAATTGGGTTTGTAAAAGACATACAAAGAGCCATACAAAACGTGCAGTGCTTGGGGTGCTCTAGGACAGGTTTGAGAGCCTCTGGTCTACAATAATCCAGTTCTCCTGGGACAAGTTATAAGGGATTTGATAACGGTCAGCTTTATTGGAGTACTTTCTTCAGAATATGACAAAAAAAACTTCAAACAATGTTAAGGAGAGATTCTGAGAATTCTTTTAGTGTTGGCTTTGATTCCTTATGTTGCTTTTAATGCTTTAATGTCGGAGTTTTTTGTTTTTTTTTGCTTTAGACCTGATGGCACTGAAAGAGGAGAGTTTGAAAGAAGAACTGAAAAATCAGGATGAGAAACGTCAGGATTTCAAGAGAGGAGAAAAATCCTCAAAGATTGAAAAGACTTCCTCACAAAAAAGAGGTCAGAAGACTGAATCTAACAGTTATTTCACCTGCTGTCAGTGTGGTAAGAATTTCACTTATAAGCAAAACCTTGAAGTCCACATGAGAGTTCACACTGGAGAGAAGCCTTTCAGCTGCCAACAGTGTGGAAAAACTTTCAATCAAAAACAAAACCTTAAAGCCCACATGAGAGTTCACACTGGAGAGAAGCCTTACATCTGCAAACTGTGTGGACAAAGTTTTACACTTAAAGGAAACCTTAATGCCCACATGATAATTCACACTGGAGAGACCCCTTACACCTGCAAACTGTGTGGGAAGAGCTTCTCAAGAAAAGAAAGTCTTATGACTCACATGAACATTCACACAGGAGAGAAGCCTTGGATATGTGGTCAGTGTGGAAAGAGATTCAATTGTAAAGAAATGCTTAATCAACACACGAGGATTCACTCAAAAGAGGACTGTTTTATATGTCATCAGTGTGGAAAGAGTTTCATGCATAAAAGAAGCCTCAACACTCACATTAGACTTCATACTGGAGAGAAGCCTTTCATCTGCCCTCAGTGTGGAAAAAGCTTCTCACAAAAAGGAAACCTTCAAACTCACATAAGTATTCACACTGGAGAGAAGCCTTTCAAGTGTCTTCAGTGTGATAATAGATTCACATATCAAAGAGACCTGAAACGTCATTTGCAAACTCATTTGGTAAAGAGATTGTGAGCAATTTCACTCTGGAGGAAGCCAATTTGAGGGTGAAAAAACTGAAGAAAATATATATCTCTGGGAAATAAAGGCTATGTTCACTTTGCAGATGAATGTGGGCCATATGTGATAGTCCACCTTTATCATCAATTTAATTTGCAATATTCGCCTCTTTATACTTTGCCTTGAGGTTTTTTATTTTCCTTTTTCATGTACATATGAACTCTTATTTCCACACTTTCTTGTTTCCACTCAATCTCCTTTGCTATAGTTTCAAATATTGAGCAGTTGAAGTAGACGCTCTAATTTTGATAGTATAGAGGCATCACTCCATTTCATATATTGATACCTCTGAATCAAACTATTGGTTAAACTGTCTTAATCTGTCTTGTTGTGAAATGCCACAATGTAAAAGAAAATTCTAAATAAAAGGACCCAAATTATACATAAATAATGAACACTGTTCTGCATTCTTTGATTCATGAGACAATGCACAGTCAAAAGTGTTGCTACAGTTGGGGCTCATGTGGTGACATCTGGGAGCTGGAGTCCGTTCTTCATACGTCGCTTATTACATCCGAGATAAAAAGACACATCCGAGATGATATGATCCAGCTAATCATTATCTGGCTAATTAGGTTATTTGAACACACCTGTTGTTGATGATTAGTATGGCTGGATTGAGTTATCTGAGATCATTGCGCGTGCATGCGCTGGTTTAAAAGGGGCTATCTATCGATAGTAGAAACACTGATCAGCAATGCTGTTATTAGTTGGCCACAATGGCTAAAGAGCGTGCCCACTTTTTCTCGGCGGGGATATATAGCCTAATATATACAGTATATATATATATATATATATATATATATAT